AGATAGGAAGACATGGGGAAAAGGGACATTGAAACGGTCTTTAAACCGACCAAAACAGTTGAACAGAGCTGTAGGGTAACCAATCAAAATAGATCGTCTAGCTGCTGCTACAGATGCGTCGGGAAGATGCAGTATTCATAGAACATAACATAACATATGCTGCAGATTAGGACATCTGTAAAAATGTACTTATGGGAAGTCACCAAATTATCTTCAAGAAAGCTGACGTTTTAGAGCAAACACATCATTTCTTTCCAATGCCTAGGAGAAAAACAATCGAGATATTCAAACATCCAGATAACTGCAACTAAAAATAAGGAGTTAAGTAGTTGGAGACAAACGAAAAAAAAAATTGCGGAACAAAACTGAATGAGCTTTAACATTCAATAACTGAACTAATAAATAAAACTTAGGGGAAAGAAATTCAACCACAACAATTGCAAGTGTTCCTCGTATCAACATTAAAAAATGTTTTACATTTTAACCAAGAATTCATTGTACCGTACAAAATAATGAAATATACAAACATAGCTCAAATATTGAGAATTTATTTAAAGTTTTGTATGGAAAGTTTTGAATATTCAGTTCTCAGGAAACTACTATCTGGATTGCTTGCTTTTTTGATTCATGATTTCTATGAAAGTGAATAAAAACATTTGAACAAAATTGCGAACACTTCTTGGAACTACTTCAATCTGAGATTCCCGTAGCCGAGCCATAAAATTTATTCTGGACTTTTCCAAACATTTGTAAATAATTTAAGAATCCATGACGGTCAAGTCTGGGAAATGTCAAATTATCTCCATGTATATTTTTCCAATCGGTTGCTGGCGCCTAAATAGAAATGTGAGTCATTATCAACAATAATCAATCTTACTTCATAATTTTTTTGCAGTCTACTGGTACTGTTTATTGATATGATCTATACACCTCTTTGTTTCCTTTTACTTTCCCCTTTGAATTGAGTTACTATGAGTTAAGTGGGTCTTTTTATTCCGGCCACTCAAAGATCAATAGTTTTTCATAAACTTGGCAGTGTTCTATTTTCTTCAGCTTCTTAAGAACTTCTGGAGGCCCATGGTTTAGTCTCATCGCTCCGACACTACCTGTGCACTATTCCGAAAGTGAATCCGAAAGGTGGGCGCTATTGTAAAAATTATCAGAAAATACAATGTGGCTCAAGAGCCCATTGTATCCAGTATAATTTATGAAATTTCATACAGGTTCAGATTCGCTTTCACACAAGGCAAATAAATTCATGATAAATGTTTTTTTGGGGTGTATTGTTCTAGCCCAGGCGACCCTTCGTATCAATCAGTAATTCCGACGAAATATGCTTCTGCTTTTGAGACACGGCTAACATTATTTTAAGACAACTTCAGGGTAAAAGAAAAGTAAACATCCGTTACCCAGAGAAAGGAATTCCAATCACAACAGTTTTTAGCACTATTTATAGTGGCATATAAAAAGTCGAAGTACATTGTTATTAATTGAATTAAAAATTTAAATAAATTTAAAAATATGTGTATACGTGGAATTTTAAAATAAATAAGTACTAGGACATCAATGTGCATACCAACTCTGGATGGAAAAGTCTGTAATTTTCAGTGGCGGTCCCGCCAGGTGTGGGCGAGCGACGAACTGTATAAATAATTGCGAATTAAAAAATCAGATCAAACTCGACAATAATGATAGTGAACGTGAAAACATTCCGAGTTGTTCGGGAATTGAAAAGTAAGTTTTAATAGTAGTACTTAATATTTATAAATTATTTTCTAATCTAAATGTGGGTACTCGTTTCCTGCTAGGACAAGAGCCAAATATTTTCATCTAGAGGAAAAAGAAGTCATTGATTTGGCTTTTTTTTGCTACATGAACTTTCAAGACAGCCGGGCCTTAACAAGTTTTTTTAACAAAGTGTATGGTTGTGATCTTCGTAGTTTTTTTTAAGTCCAATTATTATATTATGTATCCTTGGAGTATATTGCATATATCTAAGTATCTACAACATTATCAAAAATGCTGTATTTCGTTTTCCCTTGTAGATTTTTCTTCAAACAAGGTGGAACGAACAGTTTAAGTTTTATTACTGAAGGCTTCAAGAACTGGAAAAGAGCTGCAGAAACAAAATCTGGGTTTAAAAACATGATTTAGTACCTTAAATCCATCTACCACCATTATTTTTAAACTTAGAACGTTTATTTCTTTGGCTAACCTTCACCAATGTGATATAGTTTCAATTGAAATCGAGACAAAGTTATTGCCAGATACCATAAAGCAGTATAAAAACACAAATAATTGGAAAATAAACACTAACACATCTCGCGCTTCTTTTGCACGATTTAAGTCTAGTTATCCATGAAATGAATAAACTATGTAATATTGCAATGGCAGTACAATCTTCCAGTGCAAGTTTTGAAAGAGCTTTCAGCACTTTAAAGAGAATTACAAATTATTTAAGAACAACTATGAAACTAGAAATAAAAACACAAGCCACAGAAATCATCGTAACGCACGACAGAAAAATCGATACGAATCGACAGCCCTTTCGTAGAACCATTAAATATATTAAATATTGTTACTACTATTACCTCCTACGTTGATATTTCCTGTAAGTTAGACCTTAGGAGGATTACTCTATTCTAAGTAAGGTATTCCAAACAGAGATTAAGGGGCGTGGGAGTTGGAAATGTCGAGAAAACAAATAGATATCAAAGCGAAATCCGAATCATAGCTGCCCATCTCTGAATGAACAGTAAAAGGACTATTACTAGGAACCAGACAAAGCAGACATTCCTAACATGAATGCGTCAGTAAATTATTCGAAAAGAACAGGGCCTTCGAGGCGAATCTGAAATGGTTTCAATTCATCTGACTTGGATATATAACTCAAATACTGACGTATAACGTGAAATGCACATAACAGATTTTAATTACCCACTGTAAATATTACTAAAAATAGGAAAATGTTGTGTATATGGAGTAATATTGTGAAATCGATGTAGACGGGAACATTGAACATAAAATCTTAAAAAAATATTATGCGACATTATTAGACGACACTCAAATATATTATTAATCAGCCTTTCCAGTAAAAGACTGTCTGAAGAAGTAAGTTCACGTGTTTTCTGATCTAACATGATTGGAGATTGAGGAGTTACTACAGTTTGTAGAAAGGGTAGTTTCTGTTTTTTTCTAAACCGTTAGCAAGTGCTTTACATGCTCAATTTTGCGATACGTAACAGGGCGGAGCAATGAACTCAATTTCTTCAAACTTAAAATATTTAGCATGTGCAAATAACTCCGTTTAGTCAAGTATATGGTCGAAATTCTTGAAATTTTTATAATTTGTGGAACACCACATCGTGACGGTTTCTGATTTTGTCCATACCGAATAGTAGATAAATGTTTTGATATATATTATGTTACACTGTCCAAAAATACAAATAAGTCTAAACAAACTTTCGTTGTAACATTTAAGACTAGTTTCATTATTGATAATTTGCAAATGATTCAAAAACTGGAAACTGTAAATATTTTGTTGTCTTTGACATGGCACTTTTCATCATTACTAACCAAAGTAGTAGTAGTATTAGTGGTGACCAAAAGAATCTATCTCTTTACATATGCAGCTAAAACGCAACATAAAAAAGGTACTGTAGCGAGGGCAAATTGCCAATACCCTTTCTTCAAATTCAGAGAGAATTCAAATTTTAAGAAATTGAAAACTTCCCTTTGTTTTAACTACTAAATGTAATTAGTAGTTCTTTTTCTGTACCTCTACAGGTACTTACGTTTAAACATTTTTTAGAATATCCAATCTTACACGTTACGGTTCGTCTCAGTTTATTAATCTATAACGGTTTTCCTAACCAAGAAATTTAACCCCAATTCGCTCATAAATACTTGTGTGTCTCAAAATTACATATCTGTATAAACTTGGACTTTAAACTACTGCCGAATAGCAAATTTGAAAGCGCAGCTTCAAGAACTTCTTGTTTTAATTTTTTCCGTATTTTCTAAGCTTCAGTAACCCTTGCAACAGAAAGATGTCAATTTTGAATCACCCTGTATTTACAATTTTAAGTAGATTTACAGTGTCATACTAAAGAGGTTTTATTTAAATTTACAGTCATCCTTAAAATATTCTAGCTCGCTTGTCCCTAGTGACTTTGGTATATTCTCCAATTTTCCAATACCAATATGCTCAACAAGTTTACAATATATTTGTCAAAAAATGAGGAGTTATGAATTGTTGACACCTAAAACACTATTTAGCAGCAAATATTCAGCACTCAATATATTACAATAAATGTTTTATACAGACAGATTTACATTCCTATATTAAAGCAATTCTAACACATTCCTATAGGTACCTAGAAAACCAAATTTCTATATTTGCCAGTAGAGTTTCGGATTATTTAATATTAATGTTAATGTATATCTATGCATTCTGCAGATTGCCTAAAATACTGTAGTCTATGTGCAGATTGCCCAAAGGAGTAGCGATTCTGCAAAACGCCTGGCGAGTTGGTCAGTTTGCAGAATGCCTAGGCATTTTGCATATTGCCGGTAACATATACACAAATTAAAAGATGTTCATTTAAGACTTTCAGACCTAATCAGATAACATTTTCAAATTACTTAATTTTCTAAGATTATTAGTCAAGCTAGAAATATGCTATTTTCACTTTAGATGTTGATCAACTATGACAAAGTGTGCGTGACCCAATCAATAATTTGTTAAATTAAATTGATCTCTAGGTTTATATCACAAAAACTTGCAAAAATCAAGTAATTAAAAAGCCGAACTTTTAAAATATATTTCCAAACTCAATATGTAAACTCTTTATATCAAGCAGGTGTAGTGGGCAACAAAAACGTGTCAAGCTGTAAATATTAAGCTGAGAATTAGCACAAACAAATAATTAGTTATTGGCTGTTTAATAATTGCCTCACCGGTCGGTAATCCTGATAAAATTGAGAACAAAGACACTCACCACTCAATACTAGAATATCCTTTGGCACAGCAATGTATCTCTTTGAATTTTCCGGCAATTGCATATTCGCCATAGTTCGGTTCTTTGGTGAATTGCAACCCAAAGTCAGTCTTATCAAAAGTATTCGTAGAACAATAGTCTTTGATTGCACAACATATTTTACTACCGGAAGCAAATAATGCTAATAAATAAAGTAAATTCGACATTTTATTGATAATTTATGTTAAAATCAGAATGGAAACTCAGCGAATCCGGGCCGTTTAGTAACGATCAATGTGTGAAAAACACTTTTCCGAAACAATGGCAAAATATCCAGTGACTAACTACTACGGGAACAGAAACGAACGAATATTTTGAGAGACCGACCGCAAGCTGTACACCACACGACGGCTATTGCACGATTAACATTATAGCGGAATTTGTCGGTCTGGGTTTTCACTAGGTACACAGAATTGCATTACCTGAACGAACCGGCATCATGGACGGCACCTCAGCATACTTATATCAAGATCGACAGCCGACAGTGCTCAGCGTGACTAATATTTCAACGAAATTCTGTACAATCTAGTCAATATTTGCAGTTGTAAATACCTATTTAAGTAATTGGCAAACAGGGACAAATAATGCAGATCAGATTGTATTCTACACAGATCATGCGTGATTTGCTTGTTCAAACAAAAAAGTGCTTTTGCGTTGTTTTCACTTCAAACTTTGCAAAGGATTAGGCCTGAGTAACTAGTTACTAATTTTTAGGAGTTGGCGCAATGCTACGCAACTGGCTCGGTGCGCCAACCCAACGCACCGGCGCTGTAACTCAGTTCCGTTGCTGGGAAAATGTTGATGACTTTTTTTACCTGTTTTTACATTTATTTTAAGGGACATTTATTAATAATATTTTTTAAATTTCTTGAAAATTTCAGATTATTCCCGTTTTAGCTACGTAAATCTTTCTTCTCAATGGTCAATTTTCTAAAGTTTCACTTAAAACTGCTGACAATCTTAAAGTATTTTCCGCGAAAAATTATGGAATCAATTTAGATTGCTTCGTCGCTTTGTAAAAAGAACAAAAATCAAACAATTTTCTCTCCAAAAACCGAATAAGCGAAAGTTTATAACAGATTATTTGGAAATCTCGTCACCTCCATACCTCTGAAGGCTGTAGAGTTTGTTAAAAAATGTCGTTTCTTAGTTTTGACTGATTTTTTTTGCTTTACTTTCTACTCAAAAACGCACCATTTTACGCAAAATTTAATTAAATAAAAAAATTTTAAATCTATTATTACTTAAAAATACTGACAATGTGGAGGTTTTTACGCGAAAAATTACAAGATAAATTTATAGCTTTATAAAAATTCTACAAAAACTTTTTTCAGCGCCGAATTCGGGACAAAAACGAAAATAAATTACTTCCGTTTTTTTTTCGAAAACTATTAAGGTTTTTTTC